TTTTTGCTTAGGTCTATCCCTCTCCCTCTGGTCTCTTCACAAAGCCTCCTTAGAATTACTCCTTAGAATTTTTCCTGCTCTGGGGAGCAGGAAAAACCATGTGAATATTTTTTGTCCTGTTGCATAGAAAAAAAAAAGATTGTAAGGAAATTCACCAGAATATTAACAGTAAGAGGCCAGTAGAGCTTTGGAATCAGATAAAATTGGGCCCATGTCCTGGCTCCACCCCTTTCTAGCTGTGTGACCTTGGGCAAGCCTTGCCCAACCTTGAGCTTCACTTGAGGTTTCTCTAAACCTCAGATTTCTGATCCATGAATTACTTAGCATGCTATCTGGCATATACTAAGCGTTGCATTAAGCACAGCTTACAAAATAAGAGTTATCTCTAGCTGGTAGGAATATAGTGAGCTTTATTTTGCCTTTATCAACATTCTTTTGACTTTATCAATATTTAAAAAAATTTTTTACAATAAACACATACTTGTAATTTAAAATAAAAACACCCTAGAGATTAAACTAGGAATAAACTAAATGTTTATCAGTAAAGGATTAAATGAATTCCATGGCATCCAGTTTCTGGAATATTCTGAACCCTTTACAAATCATGAGGAACATTTATTAAAATGGCACATACAAAAAAACTCTACAGTATACATTGAGTGAAAATAGCAAGTTGCAAAACAATATGTGTATGGGTGAAAAGCAGTATGTGTCCAGAGGAATACCACTGAAAAAAGAAAAAAAGGAAAAGAAAAACAGTATGTGTAGTATGATCCCTTTATATATATATATATATATAGTATCTCAAATATTTCATATATATATATCTCAAATATTTAAATAAACACAAAAAGGTAGGAAGGATACTCATCATCAGAGATAGCAGTGAAACTAAGGGTTTTTCATTTTTTAAATCTATATTTTTGTAACATTTATATTTTTAAAAATAAGATGTGCAGGGCACGGTGGCTCATGCCTGCAATCCCAACACTTTGGGAGGTTGAGGCAGGCAGATCACGAGGTCAGGGGTTTGAGACCACCCTGGCCAACATGGTGAAACCCGGTCTCTACTAAAAAAAATACAAAAATTAGCTGGGCATGGCGGCGCGCGCCTGTAGTCCCAGCTACTCGGGAGGCTGAGGCAGAAGAATCACTTGAATCCAGGAGGTGGAGATTGCAGTGAGCCGAGATGGCCACTGCATTCCAGCCAGGCAACAGATAGAGACTCTGCCTCAAAAAAAAAAAAAAAAAAAAAGGCATAAATAACTTTTATTTCTTTTTTTTTTTTTTTTTTTTTTTTTTTTGAGAGAGAGAGAGTCTCGCTCTGTCTCCAGGCTGCAGTGCAGTGGCCCCTATCTCAATCTTGGTGGCTCACTGCAACCTCTGCCTCCCAGATTCAAGCGATTCTCCTACCTCAGCCTCCCCAACAGCTGGAATTACAGGCGCGCGTCTCCATGTCCGGCTAATTTTTTGTATTTTTGGCAGAGACGGGGTCTTGCTATGTTGCCCAGGCTGGTCTCGAACTCCTGGCCTCAAGCGATCCGCCCACCTCGGCCTCCCAAAATGCTGGGATTACAGCTGTGCCTGGCCACTTTTACATTAAAAAACAAACAAAACAAAAAATCTTTTTGAGGGGGAGAAACAGGCAGGAAGAATTTCCGGTTATTTCCAGGCCAGATGGCAGAACAAGGCACAGCAGGGAAAAAAAGGGCCCCAAGGGCTCTGCACCTCGGTCCTATCCCTGTGCAGTTTGAGCTCTTCAGCCCTCAAAGTGCCCTCCTGGCCACGACCCGGTCCTCACTTGCAAAGACTGCACGAGAAAGAAGCCAGCCGAGTTGCCCTTAGGTCCAGGCCCTGCGACCTGGAGCTCTTTCTCCATGTGGCTTGCGGTCCCAAGGTTTCCCCAGTGCTCCATCCTGTTGAAACTGAAGATGAAGGAGGGGCTCTGAGGGACCCCCATCGCCCTGCCGGGTTTTCAGAGTGCGGTCCACCCTGCAGATGTGGAGAGAGGCAGTCGCGGAGTCCCCAAACCCTTGAAGGACAGGCCTGGACCGCTCCTGGAATGTGGGGAACGAGTGCGATGACACACTGGGGCTGCATCAGACAGTCTCTAGAAAATCCGTCGCCTCCTGATTTGGCCCCCAAATTGAGTCCCAGGATTTCCGGGCTGGTTCCAAGAACCTGGTCCGGAAAATAGGCGGAGTTCCTGTCTCCTCCCTCCTCCCTTCGGGCCGGTTGTGCTCAGTACTTGGGACCCAAATCTGGACCCAATGCCAAGGCCGCCCATCCAGCACCCAGGCCCAGTTAGCCTTGTGCTCCCTCAGGCCACTCGCGGGTAGCGGGGACACCTCTCCGCGTCCCGCGGCCTCCACCCTCATTTCCGCGTAGTCCCGGCTCCCGTCACCCCGCGCGCGGCCCGCAGGAACCCGAGCCCGCCGACCCCTCCCTCAAAGGCCCCGCCCCCGGTGACGCCCCGCCCTGACACGTGCGTGCGCGTGCTCTACCCGCTTCTGTGGGCCTGCAAGACGACCTCTAAGCACAATTCCAGGGACCCGCGGTCGGAGGGCTAGGCTGAGGGTGGCACCGCTTAGGGAAAGAGGTGTAGACTGGTGGAGAGGGCCCCGGGCCGGGAGAGCATGGGCCACACTGCCGGAGCCCATTCCCGCCTCCTTCCCCGCGAGCCGGCGCACTTGGGAACGGGACGGGACGCTCAGCCTGGGCTGGGAGCAGGGGCGGTCACGGGTTGAGCTGAGCCTGAGTAGGGGCAGGCTCTAGCTGGTGGCTGGCCTGGTGCCCTCCAGGTGCGCAGCGCGGGACCTGCGGCAGGGCGGGGCGGCCCCATGAGAGTTCGTCGAGGGTGGCGGGAGAGTCACCGGAGCAGGGGTTGGGGTCCGCCGGAGGATGGCGGATGCGGGCCCCGCTGGAGGAGTGGAGGGACGCCTTGGGGACGGCAGTTCAGCCCCAGCGGCCCTCTCGGCCTGGATGTCCGGCCCTGTCGTGGAGGCTGAGAAGCTGGGTGGGGGAGGCCCATCCCGCGGGCGCTGCCTCCCAGGTGGGGCGCGGAGCTCGGCTCTGAGCTGCCACCGTGTGGCCGAAGGGGGCAGCGCCTGCTTGGCGCCGGGAGGTTCCTCGAGGCTGACGGTGGGAACCCCCATGGTACCGGCACTGGTGAGCCTCTGAGCGAGATCGGCTTTGGAGACCCTGCCCACTTCCGAGCTAGGGTCCAGCAGTTGGGTTGAGGTTGCCATGGCGACGGGTGCACGGGCTGGTATTTTCCTCTGGCTGCTGTGGGGCCGGGGCTTGGACACCCAGCATCTGCCTCCACCCTGCTCACTGAATCACCTGGTGTCAGCGAGGCTTATCCTTCCCAAAAGCAGCCAGGCCTCCCTACTACCGACCAGCTTTTTTTGTTGTGTTGTTTTTTTAAAAAATAGAGATAAGGTCTCCCTCTGTTAACCAGGCTGGTTTCAAACTCTGGCCTCAAGGGATCCTCCCATCTTGGCCTCCCAAAGTTCTGGGGGTTATAGGCATGAGACCCCGTACCCAGCCCCAGCCAGCTTTTCTTTTATTTTTTTGGGTGGGAGGGGGGTGGACAGAGTCTCACTCTCGCCCAGGCTAGAGTGCACAGCATGATCTCGGCTTACTGCAGCCTCCACCTCCCAGGTTCTAGCAATTCTCTTGCCTCAACCTCCCAAGTAGCCGGGACCACAGGCACTAGCCACCACACCCGCCTAATATTTGTATTTTTAGTAGAGAGGAGTTTTTGCCATGTTGGCCAGGCTGGTCCTGAACTCCTGGCCTCAAGCGATCCACCCGCCTTGGCCTCTCAAAGTTCTGGGATTACAGGCGTGAGCCACCACGTCCAGCCTCCCAGCCAGCTTTTCTAAGCACCTAACTGTATGAGGCAGCACCACTGGAGGAGGCAAGCATACAAAGGTGAATAAGTAAGGAAATCCCTCTCATATTTGTGGTTATAGAAGACAACAGGTAACTGTAAGGAGGGCTGACTATGCTAGGCATTTACGGAGTGTTTTATATTCATGATGTTACTGAATTCTCAACATAATCTTCTAAGGGTAGGCACTATTATTCCCATCTAACAGATGAGGACATTGAGATTCAGAGAGGTTGATTAACCTGTCCAAAGTCACACAGCTAGCAATAGATTAAATTTCTTTCTTTCT